GTCGTCTCTCGCCTTATTCTCTTCAGGAACTCGCCGAACACTTTCTTCTATACCCGACTGTTAACCGACTGAATAGTTTACCTTCATCTGTTTTCGAGACGCCGCGCACACACATACCTCCACACACTGATACCCGCATACAAGTATTTCTACTACGCATTCAACCCAGTCCAGCACAGAAAATTATATATATCTCAACAACATTAAAAGAAAAACTATGCCAAGCCCCAATATTAAAATATCCCGATTATACGAAAACATTTATGTTAACAACGGACGGCAGTAACGAAGGTTTAGGAGTCATTCTTTCACAAGACGGACACCCTTGTTGCTTCGTTTCAAGAACGTTAAACCCCCCTGAACGAAATTATACTACGACAGAAAAGGAATTATTAGCTATCGTTTGGGCAGTTAAAAGACTTAGACAATATTTACTAGGCCGCAAATTCAAAATTCAAACAGACCATCAAGCTCTTAAATGGTTACACAACTGCAAGGATCCCTCTAGCCGATTGATTCGATGGGGACTAAAATTAGAGGAGTACGAATATGACATAGATTACGTAAATGGAAAGGAGAACACAGCCGCTGACGCCGTATCCAGAATACACGCGATAACACAAACTGACGTTTTATTAAAACGATTCAAACACTGGGAAAAATCAGAAGAAATACCAAAATTATTAAAACTAACATCTAGCAAACTACTTTTTCCAATTAACAAAAACAATCTAAGCCCATATGACGAAACCACATGGTTACAGAAAATATCAAACATACTTCAAACAAGTAGAAAGATCGGAATAGGAGATAATAACTTAAACGCACAAGAAAAAGCACACATAAGAAGACTTCTTTTGTTTTTCAATGACCAAAGCGACGACATAGAATTTGCTTACGAACCAATACAGAGTTTAAGTGAAGAAGAGATAGAACAAGTACTAAAAGAAAATCATGACTTGATAGGACATCCCGGAATGCAAAAGACGTACGACAAAATCAATGACAAATATAATATCCCACACCTAATGGACAGAATAAAAACTGGAATAGGAATTTGCGCGACGTGTCAAACATCAAAGACTGTTCGGATAAGAGAAAAGGAAGAATCACAAATAACTGACACCCCATTAGAACCTAACGACAAAATCGCTATAGATTTGACAGGTCTGTTGAAAAAGACCAAGATAGGAAACCAATACATTCTCTTTATACACGATGAACTAACCAAATATTTATTACTTGTACCCTTAAAAACAACAGACCCAATCAATCTGGAACGCTTTACTGAATCACTACATTTATATATTCTCCGCACCGAAACGTATATTAACTAACAGAGGACAAAGTTTCATTAGCGAACTAATGTAACGATACGAAGAAGCATTTAGAATCAAACATATAAAAACCACCTCATTCCACCCGTAATCCAACGGAAGCTTAGATCGAACACGTGCTGTAATATCCGACATGTTAAAAGCTATACAAAACTACAATGAAACAGAATGGGATCGAAACCTAAATTTTGTGTGTCTAGCATATAACATAATGGTTCATGATGCCATTGGATATACCCCTTTCGAACTCACATTTGGACATGAGGCCAATCTCCCCTCTACCATATCCCAGAACCCCCAAAGAACATACGCTGATGAGGTTAGCTTCAGGAAACGAGAATGGGCTGCCCAACTACTTAAAGACAGAGAAACTCTAATGAAGAGTTAACAAAGATATGAAAGAGATAAAAAAAAAAATTATTAAACTTCAATCCATTTTTAGAGAAGAAGGAGATTTAGTATTAGTTCATAACGATCATAAAGAACACAAGTTAGATACCGAATGGCTAGGGCCATACACCATTGAAAAAGTAAAAACACTTTATTACGAAATAATGGTAAATGACTGGATTAGGAAAATACATGGTAATCGTATTAAACCTTACTTTCCAAGACGGTCTTCACCTCCTTCATAGATAGCTAAGCTAAACGTTCTGTATATCAAGATCTATAGTTCTATATATCAAGAAAAATTAGCTCATGCATACATATATAGCGAATCTGTAAACGTAATTATATGTTTAGACATTAAGGATATATATGCAAAACTAAGCGAAATTAAAAGAAAGAAATTTAGACAATTTAATAATGCATATTAAACTTATGACACACACTCGTTACCGAAGAGAGGTATTGAATTTTGTTGGATCCATTTCTAGCAATCTATTTGGAACTCTGGATGACGATGATTTAGAATTAATAAATAGAAATATAGATAAACTTTTTGATGAAAACAATAAATTAAAAACCAATATAACTTAGAAAACAAATCTCAAAACTATAGCTTTACCCTCAAATGAAAGTCTAGAAGAAATCCTAACAAAAATTGAAACGGTTCCAAAAATCATTAAAACAAAAATCGTATAGAATGCACCTCAATCAAATTTCCAACGAAGTAAACAAATTCGATCATTTGCATCGGACCTACATCTTGAGGTTAAAATCTTCTGTTACAAATTATTAATTAGATACTTCCTGATATACATTGCCACATTAAGAATCAAATACTTTCCAATCATCTAGAAGCTCGGAGGGGCAGCCAGCTGTGCTCGTTAAGGCCCAGAACTGAGGACGACGCGCCGCGAGTCCGAATCCTTGGCAAAGAGAACTTGAAAACAGGAACGGAAAAACCAAAATATCCCTTACAAGTAATATACAACAGGCAAGCAGTCAGCTCCTCTTGCGTGTGTTGTTGGTGTACTTACTGAGAGTGCTTGGTAGAGTTGCTTGGTAAGCACCCCAGAGCCGACGAACTCATCCGACCATGTTCCTACCATTTCGACTGTGGAGATCTTAGTCGGTAAGAGTCCGGCCGACACACTACCTTCTGCCGCCGCCCTGTGTCCCCCGGCCGACACGATGATGAGATAAGAAGTTATCTATGAGAACTTCCTCCATGAAAAAAAACAGAAAAAATAAAAAACACAGGCAATCACTACCAACTGAAACGGAAGGACAAAAAGAAAGAAAAACATAAAAAAAAGAAAAGAAAAGAAAAACAAAAATTTTTTTAATGCGGCCGAGGAAGAGGACCTGGACCGCTGCTCCCTACTCAACCCTTCTAGCAGGGGGCGGGGCGCTAGCAGCAATGGCGTCCCCTAGCGTGAAATTAATCAGTTAGGACACTTTTAGGAGAGTGCACCGGCGGTAATTCGCAAAAGGTCCCGTGGTATTCCTGTCACACGCGTAGGCAGGCCAGCGTGGAGTTTTAGTCGGTAAGTATCCGACACTGCTATGCTGCTGCAGCACCAACAAAGCGTCCATAAGGATTTCTCCACGTACAAAAAAAAGGAATTTAGCTATTATTTCATCCATTCATCTTTTGTCAATTGTCTTCTCTACTATTTTGGATGTTGGATTCTATAGTATGGATCGAAGAATCGAATAGTTTTAATATCAACATATACATTCAAACTATAATACATTAGGTTGGCAACTAAATGATTGCGGATCTTGTCATTACCACTTAATAGCAAAATCCGCAATCACTTAAATGCCAAACCAATAGTACACGATTCCTCTTGTTTCTATCCTATCCGTGGCTTACAGGGAATTTCTGAAAAAAAAAGTTGGCTTGTCTCGTCGATAGCTGGTTATGGATAGCTGGTATTGCTCATTTTCATGAAAATGGAATTCAGAAACTATTTTTGTAATCGAGTTGCTCCTTTGAAGGTTTAGTGTGTAAGATTTAACATATCTAAATAACATTTCGTTCGCAATAAAAAACTTTCTGATGTTGGAAGTTATGAACACACGTCTGTCTTTTAATTCTGAAAATTTTACTTCCAACTGATTTTCAAAAATTTTCAAATATTGAATCCGCCTTAAACGTATGTAAGTACATGTTTGACAATCGTCTAAAGATGAAATTTCCTTAGCCGTACAGCCGCGCCTTACGCGGCTGCGTCTCAAATCCGCAGTCTGAGTCTTAAATCCGAATTGTATGGACAACATCGATCGCCTGTCTGCACTACTCTCATAGCAACACCAGCTGAAACACGCGCCCGACGCTTGTGTTGTTACATATGGCACAGACGACTATGCTAATATCATTGACAGCAATGCTGCTATTTTCCGACAAACGAGTTTTAAGTGTTGCGTCGGGTGTTTAGATACTACGTAACTTTGTAACGATTTCGATGAACAACTGTGTAATGTGTACCTTTTTTAGCGTTTATTCTCAAAACAGTTTTAATATAATAATAACTACATAATATTATAATATAATAATAATAATAACATAGTGGTGTGATATTGACTGAAATGCCGCAGATCAATCAAATATTAGTTATAATGAATCCAAACCAATGGCTTTAAAATTATAGTACTCACAGATTATTAGAAAAGATAGAACAGATTAAAGAAAATTATGCTGATGAAATAAAATAAATAAAGGAGATAAAGAAACATAAAATAAAATAAAAGAATATAAAGTAATATATGATCATATAAATAAAATAAAACAAAATAATTAACTAACTAATTTACAAATAGAATCTTTTTACAAGCTTATAAGTAACATTATGTCTAATTACATTATAAACAGTTTACGGCATTATCGCTACTCGTGTAACATCTTTAATTTCATCATTCAAAGAAATATGTTTACTGAAGTTGATTCAGAATGTCAGTAGGCGCCACCTTCTAACCACCGGTATGTATCCAAGTTTTGCCTATGATTACACTATTCAGGGTTGGAATTTGGTAATTAATAGTGTAAATTTACTCAGTAATACTGTGTTGTATATCAAATTTTTTTATCTTTCTTATTTCGTTTTTGATTACACGATGTCAATGGATCAAACATCTAGATTTGCGTCTAATATATTGTTCGAAATGCAATGCTCGAAAGGATGTAGCTGTAAAGATCATTTGCCACAAGAAAAGGTTAACAGATAATCTGTGTTATCCGGAAGGATAGCGGAAGCCCTTCGCGGTCCCTCCAAAAAGATCTGATAAGTCCCGCCGAAAGGCGACAGTGCCTTACCATTTATATATGTGTTCCATCCTTGTCTTTGGGAGTGTTAAACGTGTCTCCTTCCGTATTACAAAAAAAAATTTTTTTTTTTTTTTTACGTGGAGGAAATCTTCATAGACACCTTAACCCTGCGGTCGCGGGCGGAAGGTAGTGCCGGATTCTTACCGGCTAAAAACCTCCACGAACGGGACAGTGGTACCAGCGCGAGTTGATCGTCGGACACCCCTGTGTGCTGAACACCAAGCACCTTTAACCAAATATTCCTAGAAAGTACACCCATAAGACACGCAAGGGAGGGGCTGGCCGCTTGCCTGTTTGTATATTCTAAGACAAATTTTGGTTTTTCCGTCCCCTTTTTTTCTATCCTTGCATGCCGAGGATTCGAACTCGCGACGCGTCGTCTTCAATTCTGGGCTTTAACGAGCGTAGCTGGCTGCCCCGTCGACTTTCTAGCTGATTGGAAAGGATTTCATTCTTAATCTGGCAATGTATATCAGGAAGTGTTCTAATTAACCTCTTGAAGGAGATGTATATTTTTCATAGCCCCCTCAAAATATAAGAGGTAAAGGTAAATAATTTCCTTAATTAAATCATTATTATTAAATCTATCATGAAGCTCTTAATGATATATTTTTGCTACCATTATAATTCTTGTAGTAAGAGATGACCGTTCTAAAAGAATTCCTGCCTCTTCTAATGTACTTATTTTCAAGATGCCTAGCCTTGCCTTTTCCATCACACTGGTAGAGATTTTATAATGTATGGGATTAGCATAAGTTATAAATAGGTCTAATTAATAATTTGTAACAGAAGATTTTAACTTCACGATCTAGATTTAGATTATTAGAATTACAGTCAAGAATTACGGGGTGGATCTGTCCCGCCGATTGAAAAGTACAGCTCATTAAATGGGCTTAGAAATCTGTTATAATTTTTCTTTTTGCTTTGAAAAAAATTTGTTTCTGTTCGTTAAATATATATAAAATCATACCTCAAAATTCAACAAATTCGTTTCTTTCATTCTTTTCTAAAAAAAAATTACAAAAAAACGCTGTTTTAGAACATTCTAATTCAGGACACTCCCTTAATCGTTTTATTTACTTATCAATTTGTATCCCGGTGCTTTTGGGGGATTAAAATGCTAATAGATCATTTCTTTGACCTCTGAGTTCGTGAATGGTTTTACAGGAAAAAATATCTAGAAAGGTGATTTACAAAAATTTCATGTATTATCACAAATATGATTTATAAATATACAAATATTTCTGCTTCGTTGGTAGAAGAAAGTGTTTTTTTATTATTATTATTTAATTTGTACTTTACAATTTGTCTAGCTAGACATTTGGTAAATTTTTCTTGCTTAATTGCTAAATAACATTTGGATGGCTACGCCCAGCGGGATACCATCTTTCAGTTTGTTTATTTTATTTCTTTAGTGAGGTCAATGGAATGTTTTCTTTTTGTCTTCTATCTATGAGAGTTTTGTTTGTTTCGGCGGTCAATTGGTTTGGATGTGTTGTCGTTTTTTCCTTGTATCTTTCTGCGTACCTGCCGATTTCAATAGAAGAATGTGACTTAAATACTTCGGCTAATGCGCAACTAAGTTTGCTTTATCTGTGTAGGGTATCGTGTCCTCCTTGCGACAAATGGATCGCAGAAATAATTTAGGATGAACAAGTGAATTTCTTGAATATCTACAAAAAAGAATAGTTACAGTCTATTGTAAGAGACAAGTTCCTTAGATACTTCCGGAAACAGTTGTTTTTGAATTTCTGAGGGATTGTTGTCACTTTTCTCGTTGCTTCGTTTAACCTGCGTTTCCTCTTGCTTCTCGATTGCTTTGCGATATTCTTCTGAGCTTATGTCTTTCTGTAATTTTCCTTTTTATGGAATCTGGATAGTCCTGTTTGCTTGCGACTCTTCATCAGGTGTAGTAGAACGGATCGCATTTATTATGTTGCTATTCAAATATTCCATACCTGCTTCAAAATTTTCGTTTGTTCTTAGCGGCACTGAAGTCGATCTTGGGATGTTTAACCCTTTCGCTTCGGCAGTCCAGTCCGCCTAAGTGCTCTTCCTGTACGGAGGCGTGCACCACAAATGCGCACAGTGGCGTGATTGCTGTGTAAATGTTTTCCTAAGTTTTAAATAAGAATTGTACTGAATAAAACAATAATAAAACAATCTTTGCTCCAATATGATAAGTATAATTTACATCTTTAATATGAAAAGGCTTACAAAATTACAGGTAATATATTACATATTTACATATTTACAAGATGGCACTGGTATATGCTTGATATATCGCGTGATCGCCGCCTATAAGCGGCATCCGAAGCGAAAGGGTTAAAACTTCTCGAAAGCACTGATAATTTGTGAGGTCGTTGTGAGTAGATCTATTTAGTTTTCAATAATTGTTGAATTACTTGTTGCTACGAGTGAGTGATCTGAAGAGAGTTCCAGAAAAGAGCCGACTCGGGCACATCTTGCAGAGATGTTTTAATATTTATATGATTTAATGTTAAATATAATGATAAAGAGATCAATCAACGCAGTATTATATCGTAGATTATTTGGATTACTACACATGTTATATTTCTTATTATTTCGATCACTTGGCATTTCATTTTTCTCTTTACTTCTCATATTTCTCTCTAATTTACTTTACTCCTCTAACTTATAATTTCTCATTTTATCGAAGAACTTTCAGATATGTAAATATACACACATTTTATCGCTCAGGTAGGTTGTGCAGCTTATTGCTTAATGTACGTCAAACAAATATAGACATCCCATAAAATGATTCGCTTAACTATTACCCTATACGCGCAAATATTATTATAAATAATATCTATTTTTATATGCATATATTTAAAAAGTAAACTTTTCGGTTTTCTACATATAAAATGTAGTAATATAAAGATCCAAAACTTATATGTAGTTCATAATTATACCAATAAAGAGATGTTTATAATGATTCCTTATGATGTTTAGAATGATATTTATAACGATGCTTGTTGATAAATTATAATTATTTCGTACATTATAACAAAAATACATGATACATTAAAGTTATTCGTTTTAAAGTATAATTAATAAAAAAACGATGATAGTGTCATGTAAAAATAGTGCGAAAAATAATAATAAAAAGAAATGGTGGGCTCTTGATCCAGAGTTCCAGATACCTTTATTCTACAATAAGATTGCAAGTGTACGATTAGACCGTTACCGAAAGACTGAAGCCTCGATCAGTCCTTCAAACAGACAAACAGTCTTTGTCCCAACTACGGGAAGATAGGGGAGACCTATTTTTTCAACGAACGGCGTCTCCCACTTGCAACTTTCCCTCGAGGACGGCTAGCATCTTTTTCTAACCACCGATATGGAGATTAACCAATTAGCAGCAACGCCAATTTCCCTTACTTTCTGGACGAAGGCTATCCTCTACGAATCCGATGATCTCGTGTCCTTAGACACACCCTATTATAGTTTTTTTCTGTGGCATCATCGGGACGGAAATTCATTCTTTCTTGCCATCTCATCGACGAAAAGATTAACACCTTACGACCAGTAAATTTACGCGTCCGACTTAGACTTTGTGAGCACATTCATCTATCATCCCGTCGACCGCGGATTCGTTATTGAACCTAAGATTATTGTCATTAGTTTCTCGAGTACCTAACTACCACGGTTACTTGTCCGGTTCTATAATAATCGCATTTGCACTAGTCAATGTCTTCTCTATTGCATAACGACAATGTATAATCCGAACAAAGTTTCGTTTCACGCCCCGAACTCTAATTTTAATCTAAACCCGACATATAAGAAGCGGCATAGATATAAGAGATGTAAAGCCGAAAGTTCGTCCAAAGCCAAAAGGCACGGACTACGCAATAATAAATAAAAATAAATAAATAAAATTAGCAAGAAGGGAATATAAAGTACAAAGCGAGATTACTCGCAGTAGTAACTAGAAATCGGAATAATTACGGGGAATCATTCGCTCCTGTCAAACGATTGGACACAGAAAGGGCTATGCTGGCTCTAACAGCGATTAATCGAATGAAAATCAAGCAATCCAACGTCAAATCGTCATACTTATACAGAAATACAAAGGACAAAGTATATATGGAACAACCACTAGGTGGAATGGTGTAATAGGGACTGAAGTACACTAGGTTATATTTAACCAATAACGTTTATTAAACCAGATAACAACAACTGACAATTAGCAGTTAACATCGGTTGATACTTAACGTCGATAAATAATAGCGTCGTTCGGTCGATTTCTCGTTAATAGCGTACCCGTTTTCTTTCGTCTTTCGCGTCTCGCGGCTCGTGGTCGAATGTGCCTATTTTTCCGATCGAACTGATTCTTTTCTTCGTTGCTCATCGATATCCCCACTGGCGTGTGTTCATCATAAGTGCCGCCGTGGCTGGCGCGTGTATGCCCTTCCGAGAAATTCAGCGGAAGGAGCGTGAAGATATCGATGACAGATTGAGTACGTCGTACGAATGAAAATCAAGCAATCCAACGTCAAATCGTCATACTTAGAAAGAAATACAAAGGACAGAGTATATATGGAACAACCACTAGGATTTATAACCGACGGTAACAAAGTATGCGAGCTATGTAAACAAACATATGGATTGCCTTAATCTGGATACCGTTGGATATTATATAACACACTTTGAAGGAGAATCGTGTGCATATAAATTAAGGGGCCAGAGGCAATCGATCGTTGGAATATACGTAGCTGACTTTTTATAGCAACAAATGGTGAGATAGTTGAAGAACTCGCATCAAAATTGAGATAGCACTTTGAGTTAACCGAATCGGAAGAAAATAATTCCTTATATATAAAAATTATAAAAAATAAGGATGTGATATAATCATCGGAAACATCATACAAAGAACAAATTTTAAGGAAATACAGCCTAGAAAGTTGCGATCCAGTAAAATAGCCAGTAAGAAAATTTAAATACATTTAAAACAAGATTTACATGCATATAAGGTTCGCCGAAGCCGGTGTCACGTAAAGTGAAAAAAGAAATGGAAGGTGAAAATAAAAA